GGCCTGAACCAAAGCTCTGTTTTCTACTAGTGTGGGTTGATTACCGCATGGGAGGTATCTTATCATTTGATGTGTTCAAAGGAAATGTCTCTTACCTTGATTTACCTAATCAAGGTCGCTCTCGCCATCCACCGGGGGATACTGTTAAGATGTGCAGAGGATACTTGCGAATGTGCCGCGGGGTGTCAGTCACCGATGAAGGCCGTCGGCTCAAGTTTGTTCATGTCGACCGTGATGACGGAAAGCTTTCCGGCGCATCCGATTCTGGCTACACCATAACCTCCCACAGTTTGAAGATAACAGAGAACAGAGGCATGCAGTGGGTCATGGATGCTTTTATGCGATCAGATCAAGTGTTGCCTTCTCTTCGCACTGACTATGACTTCAATATTCTGAAATTCCCTCTTGTGAGTATGGAGGAGCCACATGTGATGCATTTTTTGTACTCTGACTCTGAGCGCACGAATGGTGGCTATGACAAGTTTTCGGTGGTTACTGTTGATATGAATGCCAAGGCACTGCTGTCAACTCATCCGTATATGAGACGTGAAGACCTTTTTGGAGAAGACGCCGACATGTATGAAGTCAAGTGTTGTAATCTCACGAGTTTTCTTGCCGTCAAGCTCCCCATGTGTGTCTCCAGGTATTTGCATCTCACCTAATTATTTGTCCTGTGCTCATTGAAATGATTTAGACTATTAACATATCTGGTTACTTTGATAAAAAGGAAATCAACATGTTAGTGAAGTGGAGACTTGGGGTTGCCTCCACCTTGCATACTTTGTTCTGCATTTAAATTGAAGTAGAATCTCATGGTACCACCTTGCATACTATTATTCCTTTCTGCATTTAAATTGAAGTAGAATCTCATGGTACCACCTTGCATACTATTATTCCTTTCTGCATTTAAATTGAAGTAAAAACTTACTTCTGATGGTCGTTGATGTGTTGGACATTCAAATCCATGAACTGTTCGTTCAGATGGCACTACCAAAATAAACTTATTAACTTTGATGTACTTTGTTTGATGATCGCCTTTATTTCCCCACCGGACTGGTATGTGTATGTCAGGTATTGCAGAATAAACAAAAAGTGCAAAACAGCCGATATATTATGGGGAAAAAAGAGTGTACATCGTTAATAAAGGAATAGGTTGAACGGTAGGTCATGATCCAGTTTTAGTGATAGTGCCTGCTATGAGCAATAATTCCTAATTAATTATAGCACGATAGTCAAACGCATCCACTGTTTCATGTGGCACCTTTGTCTTGCTAATAATGGAGTCCACGAACCAGAGAAGTTCTAAATTGAAGACAAATCAGAAACCATGTAGTGCAGCACAGCTCCATTCCTACATAAAGGTTGCCACAACTCACAACTCTACTCGCTTATGTTACTGTAGTAACTTAGTATCAATCATTCACGTATTTAGGAGTATTGACAAGTGTATTAGTTTGGGAGCTGTGGGGCATCAGCAATTATGTTGTGTGTTTATCTTTTGCTAGAATAGACTACGTTTTCAAATCTTTTGAGTAACTTTGCACTTGCATTTGTGTATATGGTTCTAATATGCGGTCAAGATGCTGGGGAAGGTGTGGGGAATGGCAATAACACTGATTTCTGGGGGAATCGAACCCGTAACCTCAAGGTTATGAGCCTCGTGAGCTACCAAACTGCTCTAAGGGTGTCTTCAGCAGTTAGAGAAAGCAACCCACTTAGAGACGAAACCATATTATACAATGAGCTACCATTAGAAAACTTGTGACTAACAGAAGGCATATGATTCGATGGAGAAAATAGCGATTCCTTTACACACTAAGGGTATCATCTCTTAGCTAAGAGAAGGAACTCTTCCTTTTCCTTCTCCACAAAAAACCAAGAGAAGGCCAATGCCACCCTATTGCAAATACCTTATAGGTTAATTTCTATCTCTTTCTGCATCCCAGCGAATGCACATGTCGATTGTATTTTTTTTGCAGCATTTGTAATTACCTGAAATGTACATATTTTTTTCTTGCACACCTAAGTTTTTTTTGTTGATTCATTATGTTTTCTGGAAAAATGATTGATATGGTAATATTTTTTGTGCTAATCATATCAAGTTCATATAATGATACAAACTATATATGCAGGAAGAGGAAGATCCTTGATGATGATTCCTATTAATTGAGACAAAGGATTCTGTTAAGCTTGCGAAGAGTTGTAAAGAGAGATCTTAGTTGGTGGTTTACGTATTCAAAATGTTCGTGGTTTAGTAGCAAGTACCATGTTTCTTTTGTGCTGTTTTTGCTGTAGCTGCAACAGTTTGATACTACCATCCAACCCTTTATGGCCTTATGTAAGATGAAAATGCTAGCAAAACTTTGGCTACCTCTGGTCCACTGGCTTCTTGATGATGAATCTGAAAGGCAGAAATTGGCTTGTTGAATGTTTGGAAGTATTTTTTTCTGGCACTATTAGAAATGGTCTCAGATCTGTATATAGTGACAGATGCGACTCATTTTAGTGTAATGATCCCTTTTAGTGCTAACAGAAAGGTTAATCTCTGCATTGTTGTACACTGTAGGTACAGAGGGTACCTACTTAAGCTTTGGGAGTGATGTTTTTTTCGTTGGTTTTCCTATGAAATTGCAGAGATGCTTTTCCCCCTTCTTTTCTCAAATGTTTACCAACACATTATGCCCCGATCTTGTTTGTATTTGTGGTGTAGAATCTTTGTAGCTGTTCGATTGTGTATTTATGTGGAAAGTCTAGGCTGGCTTTTTAAAAATTTGTGTAGCTCTGAACTGTCAGGTTGTGTTTAGTGCGTGGGCACCCTGCAGCGCAAATTCACCAGGTGCATTTTACAAAAGAAAAAAGAAAAAAAGAACGAGCAATGCTGTATATTAATCCAACATCAGCAAGACAACCATAACTGAAGTTGCACATATTAGCAAGATAACTGGATATATATCACTCGAATATCTTCGATAAAAAGCAAATCAAGAGCTTAATGTGAAGTATGTTTAGTGGTGAATTGGAAGGCATTAAAACACAAAGATAAATAAATACAACAAGTTTGAACTACAAAACTCCTAGCAGTGGCATCGAATGGAGCACACTCCGTTTTAACCAACATTTCTCAAACGGTATGGAGGCAAATGAATGACAGAGACCAAAAAATATAGATCAAAATACTACTACCTTTGATCCATATTAATTGTCGCTGATTTAGTACAAAATTAATATGGATCGGAGAGATTTGTTCATTGCACTTGCAAACGCACACCAAATACATACACCAGCAACAGGTTCAGCCAACAATGTGCTCCCTCCGTCCCATAATGTTACCTTTTCTGACACTAGTGTAGTGTCAGAAAACGTTTTAACATTATGGGACGGAGGGAGTAGAAAATAATGAAAAGGGAAAGTTGATGACAGCTATATAAGAGTTTTACCAAAAATGTACGAGCTATAGTTCAAGCCAACAATGTTGACTATAATGCGATAAAAAAAATGAGCATCGTGAAACAAAAGATAATCACTGGAGTGATTGCTGAAGTAATTTAAACAATATTAGTATAACAGTGTAACAAACAAACAAACTGAATACACACCAAATCAAAGATATCTGAAAAAATAATAATAATGCAAACTGGCAGTGACAAGTAGCTAAAGTAAATACCAGACCAAGGAAAATGTGATCTGCATATACGATGGTCATAAGTAAAGAGGCACAATTGCCTGAATTTTCTTCTTTCAGTCCATTTTAAAGTCAATCCAACCGCTCTGCTTGACCGTCCTCCTCCAGCCTAACCCCCTAACCTCTCCGACCCAAAAGGCGAACCTGCTTCCTCCTCCAGCAGCGACAACACCACAGCAAGCCGCATCATCCCACCTCCGGTGAGATCCTGGCTCTCCCTCGCAGGCGTTACCGGGCCTGTCTCAAACTAGACTACATCTAATTGGAGCGGCATCAAATTCTATTTGAAGTTTTGAACTGGGGGACACTATTCCCGGTTGCAAATCGACTGACACAAATTATGTTATGACTTATGAGGCAACTGAGAAATATCAAATGTGACGTGACTAGCAAAATGCCCATGCGTTGCACGGAAGATCAAGATACATTTGTATGAGTAGTTTATCTTGTGCGAGAAAAAGAATGAACGAGGAAATGCCTTATTTGCAAATATGAAGAGGGATGTGGGTATTCTTTTGCAAAATTGCCATAGTTTCCTTTCTATCCGTCGGATATAAATCAGATGGCCTATATTGCAGGATGACAGGTACACCATCATCACCAACTCTGTTTTTATAAGAAAAATGTGATGATATATAGAAAGCAGCCACAACAAGTCCAGATCGGTTTTGCTCAGTCATTTGGAAGTATCTATCTAGAATTATAACATATGATGCTCATCTTATTTTTCATCTTAGCAGGTATACAAATACTTAACTTAATCATCAATAGGTTTAGAGTCTATGTCGTGACATTATCAAAATAATGTTTTTGAAATTCCAAAAAGTGCACCCAACAGTTTTGAAACCATGCTGGAGGAAATCTAACATCGGCAGGCTTATCCCCAGAACATTTTGGGGATATTCTTGTCATAACATTTGCGACTTTGATGCTTCTTGCAAGTTGCAACAGCATTACGTAAGACGCAAAAATTTCGCTACATCATTTCCACATCAATATCAATATGTAAATAGTACATTCCGTATGAGTTAACAATCTGACATGACCCTGTGCCTAAGCTTCAGCAGGTGATCCATACAGCGATTCACTTGGACCAGCGAAGCGAAGAACAGCCCCCTATATGGACAATTAATTAAACAAATGAGTGGACAACTGGTGTAAACAAAGCACCTGGCTTCGCCGGTTGTCTCTATCCTGAGCTGAGACGAAGGACGAAGGATTCAACAACATTGCCGGTACATGCAATTGTAGAGATTTCAGTAACTGCCAAAATTTTCCAAACAATACTACAATTTACGGTTACAAGATTGACGTTGCTTCATTTGAGGTAAGTGCTCCCCAGAAACAAGAAAACATATGCAACCAAGGAGGTAAGAAGCTCAAGCGACCATGTAGGTGGGATGATAAATGTTGGGATAAGAGGGACCAACATAGAACCAACAATCCAGCCACCAACAAGTACTCCAAACCTGGAAGAACACATGCGTGAGCAAACATGCTATGGATAAAAAGTCAAGGCATTCGCTAAGAAATTTCGCTAACCCAGTAGTTGATGCTCTCAGAAGGTTCTTCATCTTGTCATTAAGGAAGTATATGCACGAGAAGAGTGATATTGCAAGCTGCAGAGAAGGTAAACTGCATGTCAATACAGTGATCCCTAAGCTGGGAAGCTCTTCTAACTTATAATAAGTAAATATCCAAGTCTAGGACTTATCAGGCCTTGCATTCCCATTGCTATTGAATTCTCAGCTGTCATACAGAAATAAGGGTAGACAGACGCACAGGGCAAGCATTGTGGATTGTGAGTTTATAGCTGGTGATTGGTTAGAACTTAATGGCACTCAACTTGGTCCTTGTGAAATCAACAAGTTATGTGTCATGTTTTTTAGGTTAATCTCCACAGGCAACCACAGGACTGAAACATGTCACCAAACAAGAAAAGACAGACCTTTCAAAGGTCAGGATAATCAAAGCATATACCTGGAATGCAGGTCCATTCTCAGCAGAAGTTGCTATGCTCCACCCAGCGATGAAAGCAAAAAAGAATAATCTTTTGGAAATAATATCCATTGATGGCACCTCAAAGAATCCAAGAAATGCCTTTACCCATGACGGGGATTCCTCGACTCGCTTTAAAAGCTTGGTTTTCAGATTAATTTTCGTTTTCTTCCTATGCTGGTAGCTCTTCATTATTATCTTTTCATAAGCACCTTCAATAGCTTCTTCACTTGCTTCGTGACCAGCATACTGTTGAACTAGGAAGTCTTTTGCACTTCTGATCTCTTCTTCAGATGCATCACGGTCAACACCAAGAAGCTTGTAGGGATCCCGCTCACGGTATCTTCGGAAGACCGGAGCATACTCTGCAGAGATACACATACACTTTGCTCATAAGGTCCTCAGATAAACACAAAGGATGGAGCATATGACTCTGGGCATTCTTATCAATGAGAATAACAACTGAGAGTTGCAAGAAGAAGAACTGTGGAAACAGATAAATACAAATCGACACAAGCTATAACAGCTAAACGAATGAAAATTTTCTACCTACAAATTTGCTTTTCATGTCAACATTCAAGAAGAAAATATTACTTGTGAGCAGAGCTGCAGACTGTATTTAGTTTTGTTACTGATGATAATTATAAAACAGGTTTATCGGGGCTTCATAAATTGTAATAAATCCCAAGTCTTTGGTTGCTGACAGTATGTAATTATGTATAGTTGTATACGGCAGCAAGTCAACAATGAAATAGAAACAAATCATTTTAGTTCTCTGTAACTAGAATACTAACTACTATTTCAGCCAACTGCACACTGCGAGAAAAACATGGTCCATTAGTTTGATCGATCCACAGGATAACAAAGATATAGTACTGAACCAGCAACTGCATTCTGTGTTCGTCACTGATGCTCTTTCCTTATGACTCTAAATTGTCCCCATAATGCATATGAATCTCTCCTCTCTAAATTATGTAGTGAAAAGCTTCTAATAATCAATAAACATTCCTCTAAATCTGCATCGTTTGCACACATTGTTGCAACTCCAAGCTTCCTCACGATCACAATGCAACTTATGCGCAGGACACCACCAATTAACATTATCAGGTACTAACCAACAGAAAGACAACTCAATTGTGCACAGCCCACACATATTATTCCTTGCCTCGTGCACCAGCAACGCAAAGGCCACCTACAGTACCATGGCATCCTCTCTTTTTTTCTGTGCAGATACCTACAGTACCATCCAATCCTATATCCTCCGAAAATAAATCAGCGAAGGCATTCATATGGGAGCTAGGGTTCGAATAGCTATCTTACGGTAGCTGAATCCGCTGTCTCCGATGTCGCTCGAACCGGCGCCGATAGAGAGGCTCATAGAGCACCGTACCGCCCGCAGCCGCGGCGGCAGCGGCGAGACGCCTCCGCGCACCGCCACCGCCCCATACGCGCTCCTGCCAATGCTGCACCCAACAGAATCACAGGCACAGGGCCTAGTCAGAACGCCAGAAAAGAAAGAGACCTGGATCAAGGAGTCAGGGGGTTTAAGGCTGTGCTCACCGACGGGGCCACGGGAGGGGGCGGGCGAGGAAGGATGCGGCCGTCGCCTGCATCTCCGACGCCGGCGGTGGTTGAGAGGGATGCGGCGGCGAGGTGGTCGCGGGCGAAGCAGACCGCCGTAGGAGGGAAGGAGATGGGATTGGATAGAAAGACGAGACGCAGAAGGGGAGGGGGTAGGCAGGCAGGTGATGGGCCTGTGAGGCTGGCTTTGCTGCCTACGGACTTTAGTGGGCCGGGCTTTGTTCACTTCCTTTTCCATTTTTGAGTTGATTTGGGTTTTCTCAAAAAAAAAAGTTGATTTGGGTTGTTTTTAAGGATACTAGTAGAACGCCCATGTGTTGCTACGGGCTTTTAATTTATTTATTTTGGATTACACCTAGTTAAATGGCCATGCGTTGCTACGGGCAACAAAACCTCTTACCGAAACTAAAGCTTGGCATGAGATACTTGTCACAGTATGTTTTGTGTGTACATGTACAATTCATACATATATCTATGCATCATTGGCGTATTCACCTTTTTGACCTCATCTCCAATGAGCATCCCATCATCGTTCTTGTCGCGCCTGCTAATGTCACACTCCCAAAGGATTTTTTTTCCAGTAGGTTTAATTGATTTAATCCAAAACGGAGATGCGAACATAACTTAGCCCAACAATGTGGAGTCAAAAACTTTCCCACAAAAAAAGCTACAAGTAAGATCTGGCCAATCGTCTCCATCAAGAACTCCTTGAGATGATACTTGTTATTGCCTTCCTCCGGCATTATGTTCCTCTTCCTCGACATGTACCGAGTTCTCCATGACTTGGATTAAAAGACATGTCCATTGGTCCACATGCCATGAGTCGTTTAGTCTATCAATGGAAGTATTGCTTCTTTTGGTCTAACAAGGTATGGGCATTAATTATTAAGATCCAGATTAGCAGCTAGGAATAGGGGTGCTCATAATGCACTTGATTTTGGGCCGGTACCTTGCCAACTCTTTGGCAATTGGAACATATCATGGTATATGAAAAGACAATCGCAAGGAATATGTGTCCTTTATATGGGAATGAAGAGGTATTCTGCATTGTGCAGTAGTCTCGTCCTTCAATTTTTTTTAACATCAGTACAAACACAAGCGCTCATATACACGCGCACACACTTACCCTTATGAACGCACACACGCACACCTACCTTTATGAGCATCTCCGAAAGACCGAGCCGGCATATCATTTTGAAATTTACGAAGTCCGTAGGCACCTCGTCGTCGACGGGAACGTCTCCTCCCACTGAATGCGTATAATCGGAAATCTTGAAATAAATCCAGGAATAAATGCGAGCACCAGGATTTGAACCCTGATGGGCTGGAGATACCACAGTACCTCTAACCATCCACCCACTGGTTGGTTCGTAGTCTCATCCTTGAATTGTTTTGCTATAATTACTCAAGTTTTGTGCTCCTGAGGTAACATAGAACCGGCAAATCCAAAAGGAAGTGTGTGTGTCATGTCTCATGTGTGTGTTTCTGGGTGGATGTCTGTCTGCGATAAACTTTACATTAAGACAAATAAATAGCTTTGAATATCACTATAATTATATATAACAGTGGTAGTCTCGTCCACTGTCCACTTCTCCAATGTTCAGATTCAAGTTCCATAATTTGTATAGATATCTTGCCATCTGGGAAAATTTCCTCATCTACCCACCCTTACTACTTGTGACAGATTATATGATCAGATAACCCTGTTATGTTAAAAAAACAGATACTTCACGGTCTAGACTAATTAGAAATTGAAATGTACTGAATGTGTGATCTATTGCAGGTTTAATGAGATTATGATGTTGTTGCAAGGCACACAAAATGAATAGTTGCTTGTTGTATACAACAAAAGTGGCACCATATAAAACCAGATGGGTGTTGATCATCATGCTGGGTCATACAAAAGAAGTTTGCTTAGTCGAGGAAATATCACATGTCCAAATTGCCCTAGTTCCCTAGATGTATAAACTGTCACCCTACAAACAAACATGACCTATCAGAGTAGACCACAAGATGCAATAATAACAAGATTGAACACGCAAGCACAACGGGAGAAAAAACAATGGTGAAACCATATGAAGGTCATTATGCAGTTGGCTTAAGTAACTACGGGCTATGATTGATAGAAATGATAGCCCGTAAAAGTAATTGAAAATTCACTTCACTTGTAATGTAAGTTGATAAAAAAACCTTAATAGAACGATGTGTACACACAGAGCAGTGATCCAACTAATTATCTTTTACAAACTAAGATCTACTTGATGTGTTTAAAATATTTACGTATGTGAGGAATATTGTTTTTAGCTTCATTCGTGTGGTACAATGTAAGTCACATCCTGATTTTAGTGATCTTTAAATTGTAAGCTACCTATAGATCATTCGGTTGATGCTTTCCTAAAAATAACTTGCTAGACTACGTGACATTGATGTCACCGCATAGAAACTGCTCCTTTCTTCTTTTCTTGACGGAGAAAAAAGTAGTCCTCTGCCCACTCACCGCATAGCTGCCTCCTACTATTCCCGCATAGCCAGCCAACCATCGATTATCGCTGCATCTCATCTCCTCGCCACAGCATCGTCGATCCCATCTCTCCTAGGAACCACCCCTCCATGCCATGGTGAAGCCCATCCACTCCTCTCTCCATCCTGTAGCAACGCACAGGCTGAGTCTTTCTTCCATTTGCCAACGCAAGCAATCTAAAAAAATTAAAAAGAAAAAAATGCAAATAGGAAAAGGAGGGGACCTTCTGTGTGAAAATTTGAAGGCTTATTAATGGATTGTGTGCCCAGCCACAACCATCCACGCAGATGATCCGCCCCAAAGTCTTCTAGACTCATACGATCTATGGTCATGCCATCATGATTAGAACATCGATGCATCCGAGGAAACGCCAGCCTGTGAGCCTACTAACCCCCGCCGATCCAGCTGAATCAACATCGCGATCGTACCAAGGAGGCGCCGCTCCTTGCAGGAAGGGACACGCTGATGCCATGGTGGGTACGGCCGCGCCTGACGCCACCGAGATGAGCAGCGGGCGGCCAAAGAGGGGGGCGAGGGCGACAAGCTTGGAGGGAAGTGAGGGGCAAGGCATGACCACCAATATCTGTAGATGGACAACTAAGCTACAAAAATGAGTATATGAAAGGAGATTAGCAATTGTTTTCTCGCTCCACTCGTAAACATAACAAGCAATTTTTCTTCAAAGTAGGTCTTACCCTATTTTTGTAAAAATAAGGCCAGGCACCTTCATGTCTAATAAAACGTTCTATAGCAAATCAATGGAACCAATCAGGCTTCTCTTAATATGCTGATATGCATGGTACTAAATTCCAAACTGGAACTACAACTGACTTCAATATATGCAAGTTCGACAGTGAAAATAGTACTAAGCTTAGCAACGGCCTGCCCAATACCTACTTTCTACCCAGATGCGCAATTGCAAGGTTCAGCTGATTAAGATGCTCGAGTTTATCTGCAATGGTAGAGCATTATCTTTCTAATTCAAATTCAAAGCTAACAATCACAACAGAATATAACTATCACTATGGCAACTGTTACGAAGATGAATCCCTCCTTTCTCAAAGTCGATACGCAAGTTATTTGCTGCCTTCCCATATTCCTCTGGTAGGCAGGGCACCTTCACTCTCAGCGTTTAGTACCGCGTTTTATAAAGTAGTATATGTGTTCAGGTACTGCAGAAAATCACAGAAAATGAATGTTACCGTTCTGGTTTGGTCATTTTCACTCTGCTCTCTCCCTTTTCACAGATGCCATTTATGTTATAGACCTTACTTGAAGATGCTCATAATTCGTCATTGATGCCTTATCTGCTTCCTCCGTAAACTCCCTAGTTCACATACATATTTATATTCAGTAAAAGAAAACTGAAAACACTTTGCTGCAGAGCTTCCAAATTATTACACAAGAAGCAAGCAGACATCATCCAATCACCTATCTGAGTGCGTGTCCCTGCACAGCTCCGCCAAATCAATGACCGAGCAAAACTAGCCAATCATCAGCCAACCCACATCAAACTACACAGATTAAATAAAACGTAACCAAAGAAGAGTAACTTACAGTGTTGGAGATCTCATCCATGGTGTGAACAATCTCAGCAGAGGGCGGCAGCTACCCAATGTGGCCAACGAGCTTGTCCGACCTGCAAATTTAACCAAACAGTCATAGAAAATTTAGCAATGGATTGTTGTGGTGGGGTAGTGTAGGGATCGAAGGGGGGTTTTCCCCTTACCGCTGGATGACCTCATCGAGCGACGGAAGCCCTTTGCAGTGCGCAGCACATCAAAGCCGTACAGCCGCCGACCCGGCCGGGTCGAGCAGACCGTCGAGAGGCACGCGCACCTACCCGGCCACGCACCCGGCACTGGCCAGTGCCCACACGAATGTGGTCTCCGGCGGTAACGACGCCATCGACACAACCAGTTCCAGCGCGCCCGCCCACGCCGCTGGGCCCCAGCACGGCCACCAACATCGCTCCTCGCCCCCCACCAGCAATGCCCCCACGAGCGGATGCATCAATCGGAGGAAGAACCAACACCTCCCCTTGTGGTCTCCCCCGCTGGTGGCTGCTCTCCTTCCCGACTCCGGCTTCCAGCGGACGGCGCTCCGATGAAGAGTGCGCCGATGAGGGCGTCTTGGGGGACGGCAGGGAGGGGAGAGAGGATGTCGCTTGGGGAGTTGGGGAGAGGTGGGGAGGGGTTGCGTGATTGATGGGTCTTTTTTTCTAGGTGGAGCGGTGAAAAAGGAAAGAGGAAGAGGGCTTATTAGGATTTGAGAAAGATCGACGTATTAGGAAAATTAGGATTTGGAATTGATTGTCATGAAACTAAATTTTATTGATTGGTAACGTGCTATCAGTTCCTGCCCGTTTATAACGTGTCTAGTTAGGAAACTTTGGAAAGGTTAGGAAACTTTTTATTGTGAGGGTAAAAAAAATTAACGTGAGTAGATATGGTGGTGGGATGTGAGACGAAAATAAACCGGACTATTCAACCAACTTGTCCATTAGGAGTA